GGAATGGACTATTAGACAAAGTTGTAGGAACTCCCCCTCTATCAGCATTCCAAAATCACTTGCACAAGTTGTATCAGTCTAAGGATCTCATTTATAGCTAAGTTCGGGCAGGACAGGTGGTAAAATAAGTTTTGAGGATGTGTGCGGGACCTGAGGTAGACCGGTCTTGATGGCCCTTGTTGCTCTTTGTTCGCAATATGCATTTACGTCTTTATGAGACATTTCGGGTTAGCTGTGTTTCGGGCAGCCGATACCTTTGTGCCAGGCGTATGGTGTTGGAATGCGTGGGCATGAAGTGATTATTTTTCTCATTGTTTTACTGGCAGAGACCAGAAAGATTTGAAGCCCTTTCCGTTTCTCATCCGTCTTAAGGTTCATCTCAGTTTTATTTTAGCTTTGTTCACTTGCAGCGGGAAGCACTGTTGGGAACTTCGAGCATTGCCATCACATGTTCACAATATTTCCTCTCTTTTTTGTTTTAACCAGCATCTTCTCGTGCATTGCAGGTCGTTTATTTTCAGCACACGAACTCCGAATATGGTACTCCAGGCAGCCTGGCACTATTGTGGCTAACATGCTCCGGGGCCATCATGACTCCTGGAGGCTTAGAGGCGCCTTCTCCTGGGGATCCCCTCGGACTAATTGGGCATTTGGGACCCATGGATCTCTAGGGAGGATGGTTATCCCTAATGCCCCCCCCCCCCCCCACGGCTACAGTGGCTACTGACACTGCTCCTGTATAGCATACTTGTTTGAATCAATCGTCTGCCCCGATAGCAACGCGTGGTCATGGACCCGCAGAGTTTGACTGCCCCCTCCCCCCCCCCCCCCCCGCTGGTCATCGACATTTCAGGGCAAGGTCTTCTCAGGGTTTCGCTGAGCCGCGCCGCCAACTCTGCTCACCAGTCTGCGTGCAGCGCAGCCAAGGTTTTATCAAACGCCTGGCTTACAACCGCCAATCGCAAGCCCAGCTCATCAGAACGGACGTTTCCGACGCGTTGTTCGCAAACGTGTGTTTCATGGGCGCACATCATCCCAGCCGGTGTCCCATGTCCGCACGTCTTCCTGACCCGCCGCCCGGCCGTCGGTCTCGGCGCAGCTGGTGCGGCCGGCCGTCGGTCTCGGCGCAGCTGGTGCGGCCGCCCGTGCGCTGAGCGTCGCTGCTCCGACGCGACGGCTCGCTCCCCTCCGCCGATGAGCGGACGGGACGCCGCGACGACGGCGCGCCGCTCGCGACGGCCCCGTCCTATTTTTAAATACGCCCAGCTGCACCCACTCCGGGTAAGCGCGGGGAGCCGCTTTGATGTCGTAAAATCGCGGTTTAATGCGATCTTGGCGATTACTTGCGGACCGGTCGGGGCGGCTGCCTGTGCACGAGTGATAGGATCGCGCCAGTCCGCCAGGTCGCTCCGCATTTAGGAAACGCTCTCTTAGGTCACGCGAGCGTGGCTCAGGCTGCAGTCTTTTGATCCGCACTGATCAAAGAAGGTCAATTTGCTTTGATGCCATAAGCTGTTTATCGAGCGGCCGCCATCCGTCTTACCAGTGCTGTTCGTCGCCGGATCACCTGCATAACTGTGGAGCAGTCTGGCGATGTGGCTGATGAGCAGTCTGGCGGCGGGGCTGATGAGTGGTCTGGCGGTGTGACTGATGAGTGGTCTGGCGGTGTGGGCGATGACAGGTCCGGTGATGTGGCTCATGAGCAGTCTGGCGGTGTGTGTGATGAGCAGTCTGGCGACTCGGTTCATGAGTGGTCTGGCGGTGTGACTGATGAGCAGTCTAGTGGTGTGGCTCATGAGTGGTCTGGCGGTGTGGGTAATGAGCAGTCTGGTGGTGTGACTGATGAGCAGTCTGGTGATGTGGCTCATGAGTGGCCTGGCGGTGTGACTGATGAGCAGTCTGGCGGTGTGGCTCATGAGTGGTCTGGCGGTGTGGTTGATGAGTAGTCTGGCGGTGTGGCTCATGAGTGGTCTGGCGGTGTGACTGATGAGCATTCTGGCGGTGTGGCTCATGGGTGGTCTGGCGGTGTGGGTGATGAGCAGTCTGGTGGTGTGACTGATGAGCAGTCTGGCGGTGTGGCTTATGAGTGGTCTGGCGGTGTGACTGATGAGCATTCTGGTGATGTGGCTCATGAGCAGTCTGGCGGTGTGGGTGATGAGCATTCTGGTGATGTGGCTCATGAGCAGTCTGGCGGTGTGGGTGATGATCAGTCTGGCGCTGTGGCTTATGAGTGGCCTGGCGGTGTGGGTGATAAAACTTGGCATTTGCCTACACCCTCTGATTAACATTTTTGATGCGTGTCTACTGTACGAAATCTTCTTCTGAACATTAGTGCTGAGCTCTGTGCTGGCCGGCATAGAGCACGCATTGGCACCTGTGTCAACCTTTCAATCCAAAGCCAATTCATCTAGCCGCATTGCGTCATTGCCGATAACAGTTCTTGATGGTTGTGTGCTAATATTTGCGAGCACTATTGGACGAAAAGCTATTTCATCCCCACAGCAGGGGTTTTTCCAACAACTGGATGTGCTCTAGCCTCCACAAAAAGCAGGCAAAGCTCCAGCGCTGACCAGCGCTCCGTTGAGGGCGCGCGGACGCCCGCCAGCGCCGGTCAAGTGCCACTCGGCCGAGATATATCCGCCTATCTGGTAATTGCACCGCTATCTTATCGACCCTCGTATAATTTATTGCTCAGCCAACAGTCGCGGCAAGCGGGCGGCGTCGGCACGCCTTGTACTGCGGCTATCGCGGCTTGGCGGGGCCGTCCGGCCCGCGCCGCCCGGCCGGATTCGGTCAGCACCATTCAAGACTCGGCCAACGCTAACTAGGGCTCGGCCAGCGACAACGAGGGCTCAGCCAGCGCCAGCGAGAGCTCGGCCAGCGCCAACCAGGGCTCGGCCAGCGACGAGGGCTCGGCCAGCGACAACGAGGGCTCGGCCAGCGACAACGAGGGCTCGGCCAGCGACAACGAGGGCTCGGCCAGCGACAACGAGGGCTCGGCCGGCGTTACGGAACGTCGGCCAGCACTTCTCAGTGCGGTCGACGGGACCGAGGTTTCGTCCAGCGCCACCCGCCCGAGCAAGCGCCAGCGCGCCTGGGGCCAGCGCCACCCAGCCGGGCAGCGCCGCGGCTGTGCCGGCGGGCGTGGCCGCTTTAGATCTGGGCGGCCGATGGTGTGGCTTAGAGATTGGCCGCGCGCCTTTTGTGTAAACGCGCCGGCGGCGGCGGCCGCCCCGGCTGGCATACCGGACCTGCAGCCGTCGGTCGCGGATTAGTCGATCCGCCGGCTGCTTACGCCCGAGACGGCGGGTCGCTGGCGGCACTGTAGACACGCCTCCGGTCTGATTAGATGACGAGGCAATAATGGCACCGTGCTAACGTTCACCAGCCCACATAGATTATCCGGACTGACTGTTTACACAAGAGCGGTCGTGCTGCCCGTTCTCGCTGAGGCTCAGCAGCGATCTCGTGATAAAGCGACGTGCTGCTCTCCCGAAGCATACCGCGCAGGTGGCTGTCCAAACGTGGCTAACCGCACCCGCGACGCTCAGGTGGCCAAATCGTGCTGCCGCTACTGCAGCCAACCCCAGCCGGTGTGGTGTTGGCCCACGGTGCGCTGAGCTGCGCGCTCCACTCAGCGGAACGGCTAGTCAAATACGAAACAGCGGCGATCTGTTAACGGCTGTGTTTGAAGTGGTGTCACCCGGCGGACGGCAGCGCGGCCCGTGACGCTCCCGGCACCGGATGAACGGCCGGGGGTTGAGCTGCAGAGGCCGCGGATCGCCCGGTCTGTCACGACATCAGCAGTGACTTAATGCGTACCGTGCGGCGATGATAGGCAGCCGGCGGTTAGGCCATGGCAGTAGCCGTTGCCAAAATGACTTCTCCGCCCCGCCAATCGCGGGAAACGATCGCCATGCCCTGGTGTGGTTCTAAATTATGGCAAGAATTTTCGACTTTTTAAGGAGAGTTTCCTCTGAGCTGATTTCCAACTGACAGCGGGATTGACAGCATTTCACCGCCGTCACGTGATCTACAGCGCCGCGCTTCGATGGTGTCCAGTACCTCGAAAAGGAAATGTACCTCATGCCCCGTGCTAGGGTGTCCGTGACACGGGGCTTCTACGGGTCCCGCAGCACATGCTGCCGCATGCAAGTATGCATGAAGTGTGGCGTGACTACTTTAGATCAGAACACGACTTAACACTGCTTTAACGCGAAAAACTCCGAGCTTGTGGCGAACAGCGGGAACTTTGTGGGCGGTGCCGCGCGCTCGCAGCGGCCGTCGATTTCGATCACGTGGTCGGCGCGTCACCGCCACCTGGGAGGGCAGACGGACCAACAACGTCCCGGTCAAGAGACGCCGCGGTAAACACACCAGCTGAGATGAATGGCCGCCGTTCGGCCGACGCTGATCCGCCGCAGGTGTGCTGCATACTTGGTAGCGCCATCTCGGCGGCAGTCGGAGCGTGCGGAGCGTCCGCTTCGCAGGAGCGGCGCGGAACAGACCAAGACCGACGTGTTTACCGGGCGCGGCGGAATGTCGAAGGCTCAACAGGATCAGTTTTCGCCGCACGTCTCTGATGTCGGAACAGACCACAGCCACCGTTTGAACTCGTGTTGCAACATCTGAAGTGAATCATCATAACGCATCCAACATGTAACACCAACGATAAGGTCAGAAGAAACAAACAATGGCAGCGCAACTGGACAGAATAAATAAGATGCCTTCCAGCACAAACGTACAAACATCAAACGACGGCCGCCTCTGGTCGACTTCCGGACTAGTCAGCATGGAGAGCACTGCCAAGCGGCACCCCCTCCCCCTGGCAGGTCATCAAGCATGGGCCCCACGGGCAAACGCGCGCCCAACCCTCCAAGTGTGGTCGCACCAACACAACACGGACGTACTCATCACCACCGGGCTTGACCGAACACACAAAGGGCAACACAGCGCTCCGGTCCTCACTCCATCTCGGCTCGCTTCACGCCAACAGTCGTTCACCAGCGACGGCAGGACGTCAGGGTCACCTCGCTCGCGTGCAGCCCCGGGTCCGGAGCGTGACTGTTCTGTCCTGCGCTCTCGGCAGATCTCCAGACCGGCTCTGGAGACGGCACGCCGCAGTCCAGCCGCTGATCGCGGCGCAAGTGGCCGCAGCGCGCATTCTCGCGCACGGCATACGTGTCGCGCGCGCTGGGTCCGCCGCGCGGCCCACGGCTCGAGTCCTCGCCGAATCCTCCCGGCTCGTAAGCGGTCCCGTTTCCGTCCTCAGACGCGCGACACCTGTCCCAGGGTGCGGCCGCGGCGCGCCGGCACGGCCGCCGACGGTGGTGGCGGCGGCGGCGGCTCGACGGGGCGCGCGCTCGCCAGCGGCAGCGCCTGCGGCGCCGGCGCGTACGCGCCGCCCTTGGCGCCGTGGCGGCGGCGGCCGCAGCACAGCTCGCCGCAAAACCGATGCCAGCTGTTGGCCGTCTTCGCCGTCCAGATCCACACGCCGCTCACGACGCCCACGACCAGCGACATGAAAAGCTTCAGCATGAACACGGAGATGGGCGGGATGCTGGCCTGAAGCGGACAGGTGCCACCAGCGACGCACTGGCTCGCCTCGTGCAGCGCCCGCGCCCGCCACGTGTCCCAGTGCACGTACTCGTACAGGTAGCAGGCGACCACGCAGGTGGCGGGCGCCATGTACAGCAGGCCGTACACGCCGATACGCACCATCAGCGTCTCCAGCTTGTGCGTGTTGGTACCGTGAAGGCGCATGCGGCGCCGGATGTTGACGAGCGCGGCGTAGCCGAGCGTCAGGAAGAGCGCGCCGGTGAGCAGAAGCAGCGCCAGCGGCGCCACCACCAGCGTCAGGAGCGGCAGCTGCCGGCTCGACACGTAGCAGAGGCCAGTCAGCTCGTCGCCCGAGATGGTCTGAGCCGTGATAATGACGAGCGTGAGCACGGCCGGCACGCCCCAGGCTACGGCGTGTAGGTGCGTGGCGTAGTGCTGGATAGCCTCCGAGCTCCACTTCCGGCCGGCGCTCAGGAACCAGGTGAAGGTGAGCGCTACCCACCACAGATTCGACGCCAGGCCGAAGTAGTAGAGCAGGAGGAAGGTGACAATGCAGCCGGCACCGTCCAGGCTCTCGTCGATCAAGTAGCGCTCCCCCTCCGAGGTGACGTCACAGATCACGTGGTCCGTGCCGAGGAACATGCGCAGCAGGTAGCCGAGCGAGTAGATGTTGTAGCACATGCTGATGAACACGATCGGCCGCTCCGGGTACTTGAAGCGCGTCGTATCGATCCAGAAAGTCAGCACCGTGAAGAGCGTGGAGAGGAAGCAGAGCGTCGCCAACACCGTCATCCACAGCTCGGTCAACTGCCGGTCGGCGGTGGTGAAGAGCACCTCGGCTCCGCAGGCCGGCCGGCAGTCGTGCGGCGCCGGCAGGCGCACGTAGCGCGCCGGGCAGCTCGCCGCCGGCGGCGTCGGCGTCGGCGGTAGGGCCGGCCAGCCGGGCGGCGGCGCGGCACGACCACCCGGTAGCAGACCATCCCAGTCCCGGCGTGGGTACTTAGCCATCAGGTAGGGCGCGTCGAGCTGGGGCACGCGCCCGCTCGGCGGCCGTCGCGCTGGCTCGCCGTCTCTCGGGTACGACATGCACAAGTCGTCGCTCGCCTTCTCGCGCGGCAGCTGTGAGCAGTTGAGCACCTGCGGCCACGGCATCTTCACGGACTGCAGCAGCGGCAGGCATTTGTCCTTGACCTCGAAGCAAAGCGACTGGCAGCTGGGGATGGGCGCGTCCACCTTTTCCGAGCAGAGCGGTACGAAGAGCGAGCAGAGGAAGAAGCGCAGCCGGCTGCTGCAGTCGGACTCGATCAGCGGCGTGAAGTGACGCAGCTGCGAACAGAGATAGGCGGTTGTCAGCCGGCCGTATCGTGCAACCCTGGCAGGAGCCCCCACGTCCAAGTGCAGGGCAGCACGCACGCAGTAGCCACCCCCATTCACATCTCTCCCGCGTCAGGTCATCAGCAGCTGGCACGACGCCAGGTCACGGTTTACCCGCGGCGGCGTGCCGGGGACGGGGAGGGGAGGGGGAGGACGTCAAAACAGGTCCGCTGGCGCTGGGCCGGCCGCGGCCACCGCCTGATCTGCCTCACGAAAACCGGGCCAGATAGCGTCGGCCGCCGAAACCCGACCAACACGGCTCGAGCACTCTAACCCGCCACGCGGAATAATTCGGCCCGGCACTACCACACGTTCGCAGCAGGCAAGCGTGCACGAGCAGTGAACTGTGCACGGCGCGTTTGCTCAGCTGCGCGACGCGGCGCAGCGCGGGCTGGGGCGCGAGCCGACTAGCTGGTATTCAGCATGGCTGAGGTTGTGGTGCGCCACGTGACTTGCAGGAACGCAGGATGCGTAGGTCAGGCGGAGGGCAGCCGGCCGGTAGCCAACATGGCGGCACGGCGTCCCCGTCGCCAGAGGGATCTGCGGGGCGGGGGGTTCGGTCTTCGGAACCCGCACTGAGTACAGTTCCGAAAAATAGCGAACGGCTCAGCCGACCACACCATTACACACCTGTGCGGCTCAGTCGACCACACCATTACACACTTGTATAGCCCGTCGACCACACCATTATACACCTGGATGCTCGCAACTGATGAGGAAACTTGCCTGTCCAGTTGAGGTCATGTCTTGTAATTGCACGGAAATATGAATATCCCTTCCATATTCTGTAAGTGGTCTGATGCAAAATGTCCAATTAACATGGAAGTCGATGTTTCGCAGGAAGCTTAATGTTCACCATCACTAACCTAAACCAAGGCAGCGTGCGCACGGAGCTGAACCATAAAAGTTTCGGGCGAGGCAAGCCTTATTTACTGTGATAAGCTTATTTGTGACGGGATTCAACATTTAATGAATTTCATTTTTCGTTCTCGAAAAGCTTTGAATAAAATATATTACATGCATATATGAATATAAATAGCTACATACACACCACACACACACACACACACACGACACAGCACGCACGCACGCACGCACGCACGCACGCACCACGCGCGCACGCACACACAACCCACACACACACACACAGCCGCAAGCACACACGCACGCACACACGCACGCACACACGCAACACCACACACACACACACACACACACTCACCCAACTCACCACACATATAATATATATATATATATATTATAGATATGATATATATCAGATATATATATATACAATTATATCTATATATATACTATATATATATCATAGTAATATATATATAGATAGATATATATATATATATATATATATATATATGTGTGTGTGTTTTATCTTGATCATCATCCATTCGATTTACCCGGCGCGTTGCTGCAGCACTTCATGCCCACTCTGCCTAATGATGACAGCGGAAATGCAGCTACAATGCGTTTTATGGAGCAATGAACCCGTACGACACTGGACGCTTCAATTTTAATGGTCATGCTCTGGGATCGGTTACGCATTTGAAGCAAAACCGTAACAGCGGTAACACATGACTTCCTTCCTTCTTCAGATGTGGAGAAATGAGAGCCATAACCAAGGTGGAAAGCATTCATGACATTTACCTTTAGTTAATTCAGGACCCGCAATCGGCGGCACTCTTTTCGCGATAGGTTTTTACTTTTTTAAATTGGAAAGCTTTTCGGAGCTTGCTATAAGAAAGGCTTTCGGCTCAGCAATTTTTCGGCACCCAGAGTTTAAAATGGCTGCCGACTTAACGGCCTACAGCACAAGAGAAGGTACCGGTTGAACGACGTTATAGTGTTAATAACTGCTTTTGATGATTATAAATAAATAATCCAGTAAGCGGCACTCAATATTTCGAGCTGTGCTCATGTCGTCTGCTGATAGCTAATCTTATGACTTAGAAGTATTTCGGAAAATCCAATGTCAAAAGGATTAGACATACTAAAAAGGCACTGGGGCAACCGAAAAAAGTTCCATATTTCTGGTGCCCTGGAAAGGACGGAAAAATGTGTTTCCAAAAATCGGTTTTTCAATTTCAAAAATCGGTTTTTTTTCATCGTTAACACGTGATATGCTAGTACATTTGAGCTCTATCTTCGGCCACTACAACATTATTGGTCAAGTGTTGCCACCACAAACGCAAGCCAAGCCATCTTTGACTCCATAGGGTGCGAGTTACGGCCAAAACCTTCCGATCTTACTCTGTAGGGAGAAAACCCCGGGCAAGACACAAACATCCTGAGAACCAAAGATACAAACATCCTGAGAACCACACTACGTCGCCACCTTCAACATGTTTGACTCACAAACGGCTCTAAGATACGCATTATCTTTTTGTCACTCAAAACCCAGTTTCCCACTGGCAGCGTTGCCTCCATACATCTAATACATTCCTGTTCCCTGGTTTTCTCCTCACGCTGTAGTCATTGTGCAATTTGTTTGCATTGAGAAGGGCCCTATGGCAGTTCGGCACGCAGTAGCGGTGCTTCAATTGGGACAGTGCACTCGTTTATAGTTTCGGCCTGAGATGGAGCGACAGAGTGGCCGATATTGCAATTTCTGAGGGCTTAATAGCAGTAAAGGCTACCTTTTGAATGAAATGCTGTTTATTCTAAGAACGCCGACGTTACAACACGTTTGAGGTGGATCCTATCTCTCCACACCAATTGCATGAAAACACGGTGCCACATGCTTTTTGCGCGTCAAGCCCAACAGACGGGCTCGCATGTTAATCCATTTTTAGACAGTCAGCTGGCAACACCCCCTCCCCCTCCACACTTGCTCCCTATACAGATCACTGCCGACCCCTTTTAATTTAACCTTTTTCTATACTGATTTCTTCCAAAATTGTAATTTTCCGTAAAAATAACTGTTTTCTCTCCACGCGGTTCGACATGTTGCTTATTGGGCGCTGCTGATTTGAAATCATATTTTTGTCTTAAGTTGTCTTCAAGGAACATGAAACATACCTACGATGACATTCAGCGCACCACTCGAAAGGTCACGTGGGTTGCATCAAGAGAGAACTTGTTTTTGAACACGTGCAAATGGGCTGCTCACGAGAGACAAAAGGGAATGCATGGAGTAAACCCAACTTCCTACAGCTTACGATTTATTTGTCCTTTCAGCATGATACATGGGCACCATACACACACCCAGATATAGCAAGATCAAACTTTTACGAGCCTTGTACAGCTTTTAGTCGGTCTCCATTCCCCGAAAACCTGAGCCTCCGCGGTCGCATGGTAACTATCCACTCATCTGATGTCAGATCAGATCGGACCAGACAGCACCCGCTGGACGGCCGGCCACGCGCCCCGCTCGTACCGGCCTGGCGAGCGTGCCGCCTCCGGCGGCGTCCCGGCTGCGGATGGCGGTCACCGCGGGCGGACGCCGCCACCGAGACGCCGGGCGGGGCGGGGTGGGGTGCGGTGGGGCGACGGGCCGGCCGCCAGCCAGCGGGTCGGCTAAACCAGTCAAACATGTCGAACACGGCAATAACAAAGCGGGGACCTGTGTAATACCTGCTAATGGTAGATCCTGGGCCGATAGACGACAGCAAAGCGTTCGGGGCAGCCAAATCGTAAAAAGGGCCCGGCGACCGGCTGGCCAGCGGCTTCTGCGCGGAACACGGGGCTCGTGCCGTCCCACGTCCTGTGCGGGACACAGACCTCAAGCCGTCCCACGTCCTGTGCTGAACACAGATCTCGTGCCCTCCCACGTCCTGTGCGGAAAAGCGACCTCGTGCCGTCCCACGTCCTGTGCGTAACACAGGCCCCTCTGGCCGACCCACGGGTATTTGCGGAACACCTGCGTCGCGGTCAGTCCACGGCCGGTGCAGAGCCCACGCTTCGTGGCCGCCCACGTGGGCCCGTGCGGAGCAAAGACTGCCTCTCGGCGGCCCCACAACACAGTCTGGGCGGTCGGCGCCAAGCAACCAAACATATAACGGACAACGTGCTGACAACCCGTGGCCGCCGACCGAACCGACTTATCTGAAGCCGAATTCTCGGGGATGAATGTTAACAACGTAAATAAGGAGTGACGGTTCCCAGTCAGCTCCGTTCGCGACGGGCGTGTACTGTGCGGAACAGAAACCAGAAATACCGCCTACTAAACAAGGCGGGCGACCGGTGACCGCTGAGCGCACGACACCGGGCTTCCAGTAGCTCGACAGCCGATGACGCGGCGCCCTGGCCAGCGCATTGTCTCGGCCGGCCGGCCGCCGGGGCATCAGTCACTGTCCAGGCCGCTCCGGCCGCCGCGATCAGCCGCGGCGCAAAAAACGGCCGCGCCGCGACCGGCCCCGACCGGCGGCCCGGCCGCGGCCCGTCGTAAATCAGCCGCGGACGATGGCCGAACGACAGGCGGCCGCTTACCGGCCGAGCCACGGGTCACCCCGCTCACCGGCCGCACTAGGTGCCACCCCGCTCACCAGCAATATGCTAGGCTCCCCCGCCCCGGCACGACGGGCCACCGACAGCATGGTGGGCCACCCCGACAGCCGGTGCGCGACGGGCCATCCCGCTTAGCCCGCCGTAAAACAGGGCGGCCGCTTTCCGGCCGTATGAAGGGCCGCCCGCTCAACGACCGCTTTCCGGCCCACGCCCGTCGCCGGATATGCGACAGCCGCATCCACCAAATCGCTGGTCTCCGATCCGGCGCCTACTTGATAGGCCATGGGTAACCCAGACCTTGACCCCAGGGAATAATACGAACTGCAGTACAGACATCCCGTCAATACGGCGGCGGCCTGAGTTACATTCTAACGGGTTCAGTCAGGCCAAGGTAAACTGCGCCACGCTGAAAGACAATATTTGTTGCATGCAGGTGCTCAAACACACGAACCAGGCATTGTTTCCACTGCGATGTGAAACATATGACG